TTGTCCAGGCCACAAGCTGTAGACGAGTCTAATCAGGAAATCACTTTAGATACAGAAGCTGGAGTGATATGAATGTCAAGCAATGGATTAACCAGTTTGGCGGCTATATCAGGTAGAACGCAACTAGTGGAATCAAGAGATGATATTGATAAAAAGTTCTTAGCAAACAATTCAGCTTTGTCTTTAGGTGAGGTGAAAAAACCTGAACCATACAAGAGAGGTGAAATTACAGATTTGCTCTTATTATTGATACTATTAAAGATTCTCAAGAAGTCACAAGAGCCTAATTTTTGTGATGAAATATGAGATTTCATGATCTGAGAATAGTGGGCTTTGGCGTTAGACAAAACCTTTTTACAATGGTTTCTAGCAGTAATAAACAGATGTCTATTTTCTAGAGAATTGTTGCGCTGATAGATATGGAAGTAATGGTTTCGATTGGCAATTGCAGCAGCACAATGTGAGTAAAACCATGGAGAAGAGTGAGGATTGACTTTGAATCGCCGAGAGGGAATAAAGGATTCAATGCTAGCCTGAATCCACAAAATTATGTAAGAAGCACATTTGTCAACAGAAAGAAGAAGGATTTCTACCCAAAGGTCATCACAAAGAAAATCACAGAAAGAGTCCCAGTCAGCTTTAAGGAAGTTGTAAGATGTTCGATGGTAAGGGGATTCTGATGATGAAAAAGAATGAGACAATAGTTTTAGAGAGATCAAACTGTGATCAGAAGCGCCTAAGGGTGAATGTAGAGAAACTGAGCACTGACTAGGATCAGAAACAAGTCAGAAGTTGAGTAGAGAAGGTAAATGATTCAGATTGTCTGGAAAGCGAGTTGGAAAGTTGACTATTTGAGTTAGGGATTGAGAAAAGCAAAAGTTGTGGGCTTTAATGCCTGCAGAGTAACTGACACTAGACCCAAGCCATTCAGTGTGATAAGCATTAAAGTCACCAACAATAACAATATTGGCTGAAGGATAAAGAGAGAGGGTTTGGTCAATATGATCAGAAATAACATCAAGAAGAGTGCAGTCTTGAGATAAAGGAGAGTGATATAGAACAAAAAGTAAGGAGACAGAGTGCTTGAACAAACTTTACATCTGAAGCAAGCTTATGCTGCCACTTTTCACTCAAATTTTTTTCATTGGAAATCGAATTTTTTATCCAGATTGGAGCTTCTGTGAAAGATGCATTTTTTTTTCATTAAAAGTATTGCGCAGTCAATTCAAGTGCACGTTCATCTTCCAAAATGATAAAAGAAAAAGATTTCTCAAAAACATTTTTAAAAAGCTATGAAGAAAATGCAAAAACTGTTTCTACAATTGGAAATTCTCTCTCTCTCTCTATTTATTTATATATATATATATATATATATATATATATATATATATATATATATATATATATATATATATATATATATATATATATATATATATATATACATATATATATATATATATATATATATATATATATATATATATATATATATATATATATATATATATTTGTTCAAATTTATGAGGCATGTTGACTTATTACTTCCTTTTGGTCTAAAAATCAACTGTGTAAAGTTTCAGGTTGAAAAAAATATATATAGGGGTTACTCAAGCATATCTAAGTCTAGAATATTTTATGGTTTTTCCAAAAAAAATCAAAACTAAAGTTTTTGTGCAGACTGTGTACTTTTTTGTTGTGTTTAATCATTGTGTTTCATTATCATTGTAGAAATTTCTCATTCAGTAGATGTCAGCACTATACTTAGTATACTTCTAGAATAATTATTCCATACAATTTTAAACACCCTTATTTGGTAATATTATAATTATTAATTACTGAATTAACTTTTTGAATTAACATTTCTTCATTGATTTTAATAGAATTTGTTTGCATAATTTGTTGCAGGTCAAATAATTTAAAATAAATATGGCTACAGCTGCAATAAATATACCAACACGAAAAGCAACAGAAATATATTTGATTGGGCAACCATTAGAGAATTTTGGTGAGCGATTCCTTCCAACAGAAAAAGATGTTCTAAAGCGTATCTTCTTCTTTGGAACCAACAGTCAAGAGAATCGCAAGAAAGTCGTTGACAAAGTGCTGTTCTTGTGGACAAAGGCACATATTCCAGTTATGGGACCCGTGCAATCATTGCCAAACTTGTTACAACTCTTGATAAGTATAAAAAACTTAAGAGAAAAAACAAGGTAGAAAAACTGACCAGCAGAAAACCAGTGAGACAATATTGAAAGGCAAGCTTTCGCAACTCTTTGATGTATCTCACAAGAATGCAATGTCCCTCATCACAATCAATGAAAACAAGGACTTCCTTATTGACCAATGGACAGTCAGAAAGTTGGCAATGGCAGGAGAAGAAAAGAAGCTGGCAAAAAAAAGAAGAAAAGATGTAAGCACGAGAGAATCTAATGAAAGTGTGAATAGAGAAAGAGAAGAAAAAAATAGAAGCTCAAAGCTTAGAGGTGCAACTTGTTGACTCATCACCATCCTCTTCAGACTCTGAGTCATCTGAACATGGCTCTCCTCAAATTCGTAATTGGAGATCAACGCGATCAACTCCTTCTAAGAAATTGGAAATGACTCCAGAGTGGGTTTGTGCATTGAACCATAGCAACATTTCTGACTAGCGTGCTGTTCACATTTTGAATGCCTCAGTAGCAACACCTCTTAGCAACAGATCAATCTCCAGGAGCTCAGTTCAACGTGCTAGTATACATAGCAGGACCATCACAGCAGCTACTGTTAGGGATTCCTTCATTAATGAAGTTCAACAGAGGATACTTATTTAGCATTACACTGGGATGGCAAGTTGCTCCCAGACTGTACAGGAAATGAAGATGGTGTAAAGATGGATCGTTTGCCAATTCTTGTTTCAAGCCCAGATATTGAATTCGAGAAACTGCTGGCAATACCAAAGTTATCATCGAGTACCGGAGCTGCCATAGCTAATGCAACTGTCAGGATTATTCAAGAGTGGAAACTCGAAGAAAGAATCGAAGCTCTTTCCTTTGACACAATATCATCCAACACTGGGATCCATGCTGGTTGTTGCCAATTAATAGAGGTACAATTGGACCAACCTTTGATGCATCTTGCGTGCAGACATCAGATTATGGAGCTGATTTTGGCTACAGCCTTCAAATCAGTTATGGCTGGATCATCTGGACCACATATTTGGACCACATTAACAACTTTCCTACGCCATCTATGGTATCTAGGTGGAGACCTTGTTGGCTTTTCATTTTTTTCCAACAAGTTGTCTACTGATGAAAAAGAGGATATTGTTAGAGAAATGAAGGAGAAGAATATGGATTGAATTAAGTGGGTTCCAAATAAAGGAGAAGAAACGACAATGAACTTCAGTGCTCTTGCTTTTTCCGCATCCTTGCTATTTTTTAAATCTTTCAGAATCAATGAAACCTTCTTGGAGTTACCTCCTGACCAATGGGATGTTAATGAAAGTTTTCAGGAAGGGCGCAGAAAACTTGAAAAACTGAAAATTGTAAATGATGGGGCAGAGAGGGGAGTTGCAATGATTTCCACTTTCAATGATTCTTTGAGGAGGAACGAAGAGACAAAACAAGCACTACTACAAGTTGTAGAGCACCATCGTCGTCTCCACCCCTTCAAATGACTTTTCTGACATTAATGAACGATGTGAATGATTGTGTTCTAGTTTTATCACGTTTTTGGCATGTTTTGATGTTTAATAACTTTTCAGTGATTTTTATATTTAAATTTGTCTTAAATTCATTTATTTGTTCCTGCAATTTGCATTTTATATATATATATAAACTATTGTTACAACCGTGAGTATCTAATCTTCAGGTTTATGGTTGCTTAAAAAAAATTTATTTTAGTGACAACATTTGGAAATTAAGTCTGTTTTTTTATTAATTATAATTGTTTTCAAATGAACACTGTGAATAAATATTTTTATAAATATAAATATTTATATATTGTGTTTGGACTAAAATGTCATAAAAATATACTTTTAATTAAATTATCAATAAAAAGATATCTAACGTCACTAAGCTCTAAGTTTGATTTCTCTAAAAATGAGAAAATCTGTTGTTTTACTTGTGTGATATATATATGTATATATATATATATATATATATATATATATATATATATATATATATATAATATATATATATATATATATATATATATATATATATATATATATATATATCAATCCTCAGAATTAGGAAAAATGAGGCTGTTCTCAAACTATTCGAGGTCAGCATCATGTTGGCAAAAAAATTTCACACAAAGGGGTTACCATAAAACATAGAAACGAGGTCAGCGATTTTTTGCTGATCTCAAACACTTTTAGGTTGGTAGTTAGATTTGTATTGCTGAATACAGAACCTAATTCTCAGGGCTGATATATCTATATACTCATATATACATATATATATTTGCATATTAGTTTTTTCTTGTTTAACTTGATCCACAAAGATTGAATTATGTTATTGCACAGGCAGCCTGTTTTTTATTTTATACATATATTATGCAATGAATCAACTTTTTATTCATAAAAAATATTTTTCTCAGTAGTAGTAAAATACGTAAATTCATTTTTACGTCTGTGAACTGTATTGAGAATTGACTTGTTATTTATAGTTATAACACACTTTAATGTAAAATAAAATAAAAAATGGTTTAGAAGAAAAACTTGGTTTTCTAAAAATATGCACAAAAATAAATAATGTGCTGTGTAAAATTAATTTCAAAATGTTTCAAATGGTTCTCAGATTATTAACTTATTTCTTTTTTGTAGGAGTGCAACGCTTAGTGAATCATACTGATTTATGGTAATTAATTTATTTCTAAAAATAACAATTTTTTTAAACATATTTTAACTACAAATAAGTCATCAAAGCACTATTTTATACTTTTTAAAAAGGAAAAATAAAAAAGGTTTTTAGCTCAAAAATTAAAGACTGTAGAACATATTAGTGCATTACCTGACTTTAAAGGATCTTCTGTATCAGTAGAAAGGTTAGATGGATTCTTGCTATTTGATTGATCAGCAGAATCATTAGAAGATTTTGATTCTTCTGGAAATTTTGACTCATAAGGATATTTAGAATCTTCTGGAAACTTTGTTTCTAAAGGAAACTTAACTTCTTCTGGATACTTTAAATCCTCTGGATTCTTTGTTTCTATCGGAAACTTTGACTCTTCAGGAAATTTGAATTCCTCAGGAAAATCCAAAGGAGACTTAGATTCTTCTGGATATTTTAACTCTAATGGAATCTTTGATTCATGCGGAAATACTAACTCTTTAGGAGCATCAGACTCTTGAGGAGTCTTTGATTCTTTAGGATACTTTAAATCTTGTGGAAACTTAGCCTCAAGTGGAGATTTAGATTCCTCTGGAATTTTTGTCTCTAATGGCAACTTGGACTCTTGTGGGAACTTAGATTCAAGTGGAACTTTAGACTCTTCTGGAAATTTTACCTCGAATGGTAACTTGGTCTCTAGTGGAAACTTAGGCTCCAGTGGAAATTTTACCTCAAAAGGTAACTTGGTCTCTTGTGGAAACTTAGGCTCCAGTGGAAACTTAGGCTCCAATGGAAACTTAGGCTCCAGTGGAAATTTGGGCTCCAGTGGAAACTTAGATTCCAGTGGAAATTTAGACTCCAGTGGAAATTTAGACTCCAAAGGAAACTTAGACTCCAGAGGAAACTTAGACTCTAGTGGAAACTTTAGTTGTGGTGGATCAGTGTTTGATTCTTCAAGTGGAAGCTTTGATTCTTCAAGAGGAAGCTTTTTATCAATTAAAGAATCACAATTCTCTAAAAAAAAAAAAAAATAAGGTACTTAAATAATATTAAAAAAAATCTTTTAAGTGAATAACTAAATATGATTACACATAAAAAAAACTTTTCAAACCTTCCCATGATTCTTTTATGTCTGCTGGAAGACCTTTATCATCATTTGAATCTAAAAGTAATTTCCTTTAAATATTTCGTCATTTTCAAACTCTAAATTTAAATATTTTAAAAAAAAGTTTTTATTTCTGTCATTTTTTAAATCTAAAATTTTTAAAAAACATTGATATTTAAATTTTTACCTAGACGCTCGAGTGCAGATATAGCAATAGTATTGGTGCTTCCACAAAAAGATCGATCAAATAATCCTTTGTTTACATTCTTAATAAATTTACCTGGTTGGTTACCAAGCGGAAAAAACTTAGCTACAACAATTGTGCATAAAGAGTTGTTTCTTTTTTTTGTTGCATAAGCAATTCCAGCTTCCACTGTCTCATTCCAAATCAACTAATAGAAAAATAATTTAATTTTAACTAAAATTATCAATAACTTATTAAATTTTTATTAGCTGAAAACATGAAAATATCATAAAAGCATGGAAACTAATTATGGGTATGTCCTATATAAATATATATAACCATTGCCAAAGGTTTGGAACCACCTACAAAATTTATCAATATTTAGAATCACAACAAACCTTAAGTAAATAATTAAAAAATAAATTCCTGTATAATCATCGGAATTTGTAAGAGGTCAAATTACAGTATTAGTTCAACAAAATAAATCAAAAATTACAAAAAGACAAATTACAAAAATTACAAAGAGAAGTTACAAAAAAAATGGTAATTGTGAACTTTTATAGCACTCCGTAGTGCTTTTTTGCACATCATATAACAATGTAAAAAGACAAGAAAAACATCCACATTCTACAATGGTAATGGGTTGCCTCTCTACACAATTATGCTGTCAGCTACATTTTATAAGAAAAGGCAAAAGCAATAAATTCTTATGTATACATGGAAATACTAAAAGAAAAGCTGCTTCCAAGCATCATATCTAACAAAATAACAATCTTCTAATAGGACAATACACCCTGCCACACTTACAAAATAATGCAGAACTTTTTGAAGAAGAACAGGATTTGTGTTCTTAACTGATCAGGAAACAGATCTGAACTCAATCTAATTGAAAACCTTTTGACAAATTCTCAAACATAAATCATAAATATCTAAGAATAGTGATCTGCAAATAAAACAATTGTTGAAGTTTGGGTAAAAAAGATATCACCACAATTGTCTGTCTGTCCTGTTTATTTATTTAGTATTTTAATAATTATCAACAAAATAAAATGATAATTACGACAATACTTTGTATGATGACCACAATTTTTTAAAATAGAGGCTATATGACCAGGCATACTGTGGACTATTTGAAGACAATTCTACCTATTTAATTCAATCCATGTATATATGTTCCCTGCATGTTCTACATGCAACAGTAAACATGCATGTTCTACAACAACAGTAAACATATGTATATAAATAAATATATATATATATACATATATATATATATATATATATATATATATATATATATATATATATATATATATATATATATATATATATATATATATATATATATATATATATATATATATATGTATATGTATATGTATATATATGTAACATAAGTTAAAAATGGAATTGCCTATATATCAAGCTTGCTCGGGAAGCGGGTGCACTTGTACTCAATTCCTGACTACGCAAATTTTATCTAGTTGCCACAACTTGGCCACAGCTTTTTATATGCTTTAAGAACATTTAAATTCATGTATGTTTCCGTGTATGTCAGAAGCTATTTGACATGCTAAAACAATTAAATTTGTATCTTTAATATAAGCAAACCGTAATCTTAAATATTAGCAAAGTGCTTTTAAACTAAGCAATCATTTATATACAATGATACTTTTTTTAGCTTTTTTCTTTTTTTTTCATTTACTTTGAAAGCAATGATTTACTTTTAAATTAAGCAATGATTTACTTTTATCGAACGTTTATAAAAAATATATATATTATTTTATTTTTTAAATTATATAAAGTTAAGTAACTTTTATTAAAAATTATAGAAAATAATAATATAGACAAGTTTTTTATTCTTTAAATTTTTTTTTTTTTAAATGATTGTATGATCAATTTTTAAAAAATAAGACTTTTAACAACAACTGTATTTTCAATAAAATTTAAAAAATAATAATCATCAAAATTAATAATCAAATAAACATACAGGAACATAAATGCGACTGAACATAAACACACATATATAAAAAGTGAATTATGAGTGGATGAACACCGCACCAGTGATTTGAACAAAACACAAATATACATTTATATAAAATGACTTACAGGTGAACCAGCACCGGGCCAGCAGTTCATACAGAATAAAAACATACAAATATATTAAAAAGCCTACCCACTAAATACACCGCGGTATTGTAAGGCAGTTTCGCTTCCTTCTCATAAGTATATTTTACCTTTTTGGTTTAACCATTTAAGCTTGCTTAATGATAATTTGATGCAATAAAAACGTGCTTCTAGTTTACAAAAGACAAAATAAAATCTTAATTTACTTAGAATGTAATATGGTTTTTATATATTAACTTATAATATATATTATAGTAAAATACACTGATGGACTAATGTATAATATAAAGTTATTAAATGTATACATAGTGTGCAGTTTCGAAACTGCTCAATACAGAGCGCTGATTCAGAGGTTTAGCATATTGCAAAACTTTTTTAAACAATATAAAAACACTGGTTTAAAAAAAAGGTCATAATATTTTTAAAATAACACAACAATTTAATTATTTTTTTTGTTTATTTTTCTTAAGAAGAATATATTTAAATATTTTAAATTAATATTATATATTGCAAGCTATGCAAAGTATGAAATGATTATAAAAATATTTTTATTTTTTTATTTATTATATAATTCGTTAGTTTTATTAGAATCTTGTTGAAATAAGACATAAATACTTAAATAAATAATTATATTATACGCTTTGAAAAAGTTATGAACATTAGTTTTTTTACTAAACAATCATTAATAGTCAATTGTTACTTTTTATAAAAGTGTCTCTTAATTTTATAAAAAAAGTTATGAAAGAGAGAAGTTTAGAATTAATTTATTCTAAACGTAACTTGTTTTGTTTTAGTAAAGTTTTTTTCTTCTTTAAAAATTCATTTCTTTTTTTAGTTAATTTTGTTAACTCCTGTCAAGTTAAGTTTTTTTTGCGCTTTTTGAAATATTCTCAAGCATCTAAAAAGCCGTGGCTATGTAGTCGCAACTAAATATTATATTCATGGTCAGATATAGATCCCACCCGCTTTCTGACCAAGCCTGATATATATGTGTGTATATATATATATATATATATATATATATATATATATATATATATATATATATATATATATATATATATATATATATATATATATATATATATATATATATATTAACCCCCAGAATTAGGGTCAGCATTCAGCAATGTCAACCTAACAGCTGATTTAAAAGTGTCTGAGGTTGGCAAAAAATTGCCAACCTCGTTTCTATGTTTTATGGTTAGACCTTTGTATCAAATAATTTTTGCCGACCTGATGTCGACCTAAAATAGATTGAGGTCGGTAAATTATTGCCGAGGGTTGATATATATATATATATATATATATATATATATATATATATATATATATATATATATATATATATATAAATATATATATATATATATATATATATATATATATATATACATATACATATATACATGTTTATAACACATTTTTATACATATAATTGAAATATAAATAAACATATATGATATATTTATTTATTAGTATATGTTAGGGATATGTCACTTATCTGTGTCACAATTTATGCTACACACCTATTTAACACCTATGTTACATGTAAATATATATGAAAATATAGACAAATGTGCTTTATAATTATTGCATATAAATTTATGCTTCACATACAAATTTTTTACAGACCTGTGTTGCATGTAAATTTGTTTGAGCTTCTATATCAAATTGGTAATTTTTAGTACAAAACTCATTATACCTAAAAAAATTTAATATAATTTCCATTAAAAATATATATATATATACATATATATATATATATATATATATATATATATATATATATATATATATATATATATATATATATATATATATATTATATATATATATATATATATATATATATATATATATACTTGAGTAAAAGTTCCAGGTAACAAACACAGAAGGCCTTTCATATAAAATTTTCAGATGTGTATAAGTATACAAAACTATAAAAACTCTTTATATTGAACTTCTTATGAAAAGTTTAAAGAGGAAGTAATTAAGGTTTATATAAAAAATATAATTAACAATAATATAGCATAACTTGATTCTTATTGGTAAGGAAATTTTAAAAAAAGGTAAAAAAAGGTTTAAAAGTAATGTGAAAATAATTACTTTCTATTTATACGTTGATTATGTCCCTGTTTATGTAGGTGAGCTTCATTAATAAGAAGCATATTTTCATTTGAGAGTTTTAACATAACAAATAATTTTTTAAAAAATATATTTTTATGGCAATTGAAAACATGCTGATCAAATTTATCTGAATACCTGTTCTGCATGTGTAGAACAATGACCTGTTCTGCATGTGCAGATGTGTTCTGCATGTGCAGATGTGTAAATTAGTCCTTAATCTTAAGTTATTAGTTTTACCAAAGTATCTCATTTTTCTATCACATCCATTACATGGTAGAAAATAAATATTTTTGGAATTACATGATATTGAAGTTTTAATGTTCCATACTGTATCAGATGATGTGGTAAAATGGTTAACAAACTGAAGATAGAGAGTAACTTACAACGCTGTGATACGCATTTTAAAACCTTGCATTTATCGTTGATAAAACTAATAAAACTTAATGTACTTATGTGTCTTAAAATATTTTTTTAAGAAACTTAAGTATTTTAATAGAAATGTTTTCAAAAAATGATTTTAATTTATTTTCTAAAACAGACAGTTTCATAATACCATATATAGTAGTTTTTCAAAATTAATATTAGCAAAATTTGTAGTTACAAAAGGTATAATTTCATTCTCTTCCCTTTTTTGAGATGCTGGTCCCTGAAGTTAAGCATAAAAAATTCCATTATTAATGATTTTTACTGGGTAATTGCATCAAACTAAAAACTGTTTTAGTTGTTGAAGTCTGATTTCCATTTTTTTTGAATTAGACATAAAACAAATGATCCGTTTAGCTAATGTAAAAGTTATATTTTTATTTGTATGTTTAGGGTGGTGGCTATTGTAACTAAGATATTCATAGGAAACTGTAGGTTTATAAAAAATATTTGTTTCAATGTTGTTATCATGTAGAATAACTGTTATATCTAAAAAATTTTAAAATTGGTGATTTCTGTATATTAAATTTTAGATTGTTCTTCTGTATATTTAATATCAGGGTGTAAAAAATTTTAACAGCAAATTAACATTAATTAATTTTGATGGTTTTGTCTCTTTATCAAAACCAATTAATATTAATTTGCTGTGATCTATTGTTATCAGGAGTTAAGAAACCTACTCTTTTGTTTCCAGAGTGTTGAGAATATGTAAAATTAGCTTCAGAAGCATCTAATAGTGCATATGGATTTAAGACGAAACATAAATATACACTAACAAAACTACTTTGCCAATAAAATCTTTATGGGTTGACGTCAAAAGAATATTTTCAATTGTATTAGGATTTACTTGCTTAGTTTTGTTACATGCTTGAAATAAATAATTATTTATATTTTCATATTATTTTTTTAAATGAAATTAAATTGAATAAAAAATGGTTAACTATTTGATTATTTCAACAAAATTAAGTTAATTTAGTACACAAAGTAACCTAAAAATGAATAAAAAATGTAATGAAAATTGTGTTGTTTTTGCTTATTTTTCTATTGAAGATAATTTTGTGAAATAGTTTTTAAAAAATATCTCATAGAAAAAAACAATAATGCCTCTTATATTACTGTCGTATATTTTGTTGACATAGACATTTTCCCATTAAATGATCAGATCTCTGAATTGTGATAAGACCAAAAAAATTTAAATGATTGACATTTTTAAATTTTGATGTAGCATAAAATAAAAATGTTTGTGGTGAAAAAGCAAAGCAATTAAAAATGAACTGTTATGATCATTTTTTTTGAACTGTTATGATCATGGTTTTTCCTAATAATTTACTTTTTCTTGATAGGAGTTCTTAAACTTTTAATGAAAATTGATAGAAATATTGTATTTTGACAACTATATTTAATTAATAATTACCAGAACAGATTGGAACTAGGATCTTTTGTGGGTTAACACGCTTTTTCAAAAGATTTTAAATAAAATCAAGTTAACACTGTTTAGCAAAATTGGTTTTATGCTACATCAAAATTTAAAAATGTCAATCGTTTAAATTTTTTTGGTCTTATCACAATTCATGAAGACTAAAAAATAGTGTTCTTTAGGTCCACTATTAGGGGTAGTAAAAAAATTATTTAAAAAAGAGAAAAGTTTCTTTAAACACTATAAAAACCTGAGGCAAAAAAAATAAAAACACCTGAAGTCTTAGCTTTTTTTTTTTAATTTTATGTAAATTCACCCAAGGCAGAGAAGACCACTGCAGACAAGGAGGCTATTAAATTGTGGTTATAACCCTCTCTCAACTCTATAACTCCAAAACACAAACCTTGAGGAGCAAGGCCGCTGCGTGGCGAAGCAAATTGAGCACAGTACTACCAGGGACATGGTGGGGATCAAACTTGAAACCTCTCGCTTATGAAGCGAGCACTCTACCACTGCATCACTACCGCAATATAACTACACTGAGATATCAGTAATTTCTAACAACAATTAGCCTTTCTTTGGTTTGTTAACTTTTTTGTGAAATTTTATGATAAAATACTGAAAAATATAAAATCACAAGCAAAAGGTAATATTTTTCTAATACTTGATAATGAATAAAATTAAACAACTACCAATTAGAGAAGGCATCTTCAGGAGGAAGAACTCGATCAAATACATTGCAAGTTACCTGCACCATTTCACCAGGATTAACCGTCCTTTTACGTACATTCTTTATAAACTGCATAGCCGACAACTTGCTTTGGGCACCTAAAACAGCGCTTGGTGTAACTGGCTGGCTTGAATGCATTTTACGAAACTTATTTAACACAACCACAAAATCGTTCTGGTAGTTTTTTTCATCTATTAAATCAAAGATTTCTTAGAAATAATTGATAAGATAAAATAAGTATTATAAGTTTATATTATGAAAGTTATAAAAATAACTAGGTTCATACCATTCAAGTAAATTAGAATTATTTATTGTTAAGATGATCATATGTCATAAAAAAATTAATTTGTAAATTTTTTTTATATTAACTAAGTCAGTTCATTAAAAAAAGTTTTATATGTTCTGAAGTTTGTCTAATGAAAAAAATGATAATGATGTCTAAAAATGCAGTTACTACACTTTCAAAATGGTTACCTATATCTTGTTTTTTAATTTGTGTTAACTGTTTATCACATTTTACTTTGACTTTGGTTGGAGTCAGTGGCTTGCATGGGTACCTTTGATTAGAATTATTGACAGATTTTTGGTCTGACAAGCCACATGGTTTGCTTTCCTTTGAAAACTTATCAACAGCTAGTAAAAGGCCTTTATCTTTAATAATGGATGCAACCTTTGCAACAACAGGTATATATACAACTCCACTTTCGCCTATCTCTGTGTTATCAAGAAATTTTTTTTCTTTTGAAATGTCTTCTTTATTTTTAGAATCAAGTTTATTGGAAGCAGGCTTATTTAAAACTGTGCAAAACTTATTATCAAAAAATCCCTAAACAGAAAAAATATCATAAATAATAAAAAGAAATAAACTAAATAACAAAAATAAATCTATATATACAAAAAACTTTCTTTAAACTTTGAATTCTCTTCATAATGAATAAAGACAAAAAAATTTAAACAAATAACACATATATAACAAATAGATATCAAAAAACAAAATAAAAAAAGGTACACAAAATTGCTTAGTATTTAAATAATAAAAATAAAAAAAATTATCAAGCATAAGTTTTAATAATTAAGTTAATAACTGTCCATAGCAACAAATTGATGATTCTATATTAGAACTTAAAAATCAACACTTAAAAATTAGCACAAAAATGAAACCATCATTAAAACTCAGTTAACTCTTTTTTTTTTTATCAATCTTTACTTCCTTATATCTTTGAGTATTTATTTTTATTTTCGGTATCAATAACAACAACAACAATAACAACAACAATAACAACAACAACAAAAACAACAACAACAACAACAACAAAAACAACAACAACAACAACAACAAAATAAATAAAAAAGTAAAACTAGTCCAAATCATTTTTGAACAAAGTTTTATGACAAGAACATCAATTAAGGTAAATTATTTGAAGCAAATCACTTTTTATAAAAATGTTGTTCCAGATCAACTGTTTATAGACATATCTGAGCCCAAGAACAAATAAGCTAAAAAGTTATAAATCTGGCAAAATAAGAGCAAACTTATTACTGAAATGAAATTTAACTTTCATTTCAGTAATAGTAAACGTAAAGATTACATTTTTCATGGAATTTACTAAATGTTACAAGTTAAATACCATTTGTTGCAAGTGTAAAACTATCTTATGAAAAATGTAGAAAGAAAGAATTTTAAGCTTACCATTAAAACCAGGTAACTCTGATATGCCAAGACCATAATGCTTGGCTCATCATTATATCTTTTTAGTTACAACAGTTAACAAGCATTAAATTAAGATTAGATTTATAGACAAAATTAGATTTATAGACTTTTTTCCAGCATATAGAAAATAAGAACTCAGTTAGGCATTTGTTAAACCCCATTCAGCTTAAGGGTTTTAGTAAGAACTGTAGCTATAGAATGAATCTGATGCAGAAGAAAAACAATTTAACAGTTTTATCAAGATCATAGCATGATCTGAACCACTAAAAAGCAGAACAAGAAAAAACTGCAAAAGTTAGGTTCAAAGACCAGGCAATCAAAACAAAATCAAAAGATGTGAAAGTAAGTGATTAGAGTTGTCTGGAAATTTATAAATAACATATTATTAAAGTCAAACATTTTGAGCTTTAAAACCAGCAGGATTAGTGGTTCTATATTAGCTTAGTGACAATGAGAAGAGGTTTACTTAATTAAAACAATATCAAAAGGTGTGCAGACTTAGGAGAAAGGAGAACAACAAAGAACAAAAAGTCAGTTGATTTAAAGAAGAGGCAAAAAGCAAATAAAAGAATGTTTCAAAATTGACTTCACAATTGGCAAATTGATATTTAAGTAGATGCCCAAAGAGCAATATCCATTGACAATGAGATCAAAAAATAAAACAGTTAAATTTCAAATAGTCTCACAAAAAGCCAGTTGGTCTTGTGAATTTTGCTAGAGGTTTAGATTCAATGAATGAAAAGTTTTTTTGAAGACCACAAATATTTAAAAGAATAGATGGAAACAATTTGGTGGAAATAATGATTTTTTCCATTTAATATTTATATTATTATAGGTGTTTTTTTTAAATTTAATTTATAGAGAAGTTGACTAAATCATAAATAGGGCATGACACTCTAAGCAATAAGTTATACAGTTGCCTCAGTCGTGCTAACCAAGTCTAATCCTGCTAACTAAGCCTAATCCTGCAAACCAACTCAAATAATAAGGCTCCTTTATGATGCCTTAATAATGACAGTTGTAATGACTATGTGCACCAAAAGCATTATCAATGATACTCCTACCAAAAACACTAACAATGATACACCTACCATGATACTTTTAACTGGAGTAACTGGAATATTGCCCAAGAGCGTTTTTTACAAATAAAAGTCAATAAAAAATAAATTAAAGTAGGAATTTACTTCTTTAACATTTTCTCTGAATTTATTATCTATGTTTCCTTTGGACTCATATCTTGCAACTATATAAGTACAATACTGTCCATTAAGCTTGGTAACAACAAATCCAATACCTAGCTTATTTGAATGAGCCCAAACAATTTGAGTGAAATGAGCTGTTTCTTTTTGCTTTTTCTGTTCTTTGAAGTCATAAGGTACAGGTCGACAAACTTCATTATACCTAAAAAGAGTTTACTTAATTCATAAAAGCAGAAATATATATACAGAACCAGAGCCATTGTTTTTATCTTAATTTAGTTTATCCAAAAATATTATGTTTAAAACACTGCTAACTTTCCCAGGGTTGGATAGTTATATTTCTGGTTCTTCTGGTTTCCACCAGTATGACACCAGTATGAAAATACAAAAATAAAAGTTCACACCATATCTGAACAATAGCTATACTGAAAATGTAAAAATTATGGCTCTGGCTTATATATAAATAAAGTTTGATTTTAGAAAAATTAGACAAACAATCAAATACACTTAATTCTTCAAAATAATTATTTTTTTGAAGAATTAAATCTAATAAGCTGTAACAATGCATATTAATAAACAAAATGACTCACCCAATTTAATAAAACTAACTGATGACGGAAATTAAGGAAACGTTTTTACTAACCCTTGCATTGAGTTGCAGAACAATTTTATGGAAATTAAATCAACAAAGTTATATTTTTTAAAAAAAACTATTTTTATTTATATATACTAGGGTACTTGCTTTTGAGGAAATTTAAAAATGTTAAAATGACTTTGGAAAAATATTAGCCTTATTAGATCACTTTTGAGCCTTCCTTGTGCCCATTTAGTTTTTAAAAATGGTTGAAAAACGCAAAAAAATTACAATACTCGAAAACCTTGGGGTCATTTTTCACAGAAAAGTTTTTGTAAAAAGGCTTTATTAACTCATTGAAATCTGTTCTGAGATTCTGAATCTTTTTACAAACTGTTGCATCATTCACACTGCTCTTTCAATAGGGTTGCTTACAAAAACTAATGATTTAGCAAAATCTTTGATGACCCTAATGCTTGATTGTATGTACAGATAATGAGGTAGAAGTGTAAGCCAGTCGTCAGTCATAGAAGGGTCAGTCTATAACTTTTTGTTAATCCAAGCCTATCAAACATCAAATATAAGAATTGATCAAGAAAATGGTACAATTGTAGAATTGAGATTCCAGGTATGACTTTAATACTGCTTCAACTACATCTAGCACAAACATATTTTTATAGATGCATTTTATGTATTAATAAAATATCCAGATATGGGGCTTTGATAGCTTTGTTAGGTTGCAAATACCATTTTGCAAAAAAAACACTCTATGAATTCTGCCATGATATTTATTTCTTCTAAAAGAAGATTATCTTCCTGAACCAGCTTAATCTAATTTGAAATAAGTTTTTCAATTTGAGATAATATAAGGCTTTTCTAAGGAAACATGCATGATAGAGAGCTCCTGGTTTCCTTATTTTTACAATTCTAGAAGACGAACTAACTCAGCAACAACTAGATCAGCAAATTCTTTTTTATTACCTCTGAAAACATTTTCATTTTTGATGCATTTATTGCAGAAACAAGGAGAATCAATTGCTGAACACTCAATAATAGTTCCTTTTGTTCTAAAAACCTAAAAACGCTTTTGTCTTAACCTAAAAAAATTTTCAAACATCACTAGTACCATAATGAAAATCAAAATTTTCAAATATTTTGAGTTTTTTAAATAAAAGATTGTATGGTCCAAAAATCTTATTTTAACAACCTTTACCTCTGATACATGGTATCTATAAGTTCAAAGCAAAAGATTGATATCTAGATAATTTCCAATTCTAAGAAGTGAACTCTTTTTAGTATAAATATTAATGAAGTTGTTTCAAAGTATAATCTTCTAATATATCTTTTGGTTTTATAGTCCTCAAGGAAATTCATCACACCTTTATACTGTTATTTTTCACTAGAAATTCATCACATCTTTATACTGATATTTTTCACACCTTTATACTGATATTTTTCACTAACAAATGCTACAAAAGCAACACAACCACTATAAACATCTTTAGGAATTGTGCATGCAATTGAATTTACAAAATTTCTGTGTCCAGTCCTCATGTTTAAAGTCTAAATCATTTGATCTATACTTATTTTATGTTCTAAATTTGCTTAAACATTCAGAGTATTGTGTTTTCTTTTAGTTTCTTACTCAATATATAATTTTTTTTGTATAGATATTTTGTATATAATACTACATGCAGCTAAAAAAATACTATTAATAATGTTTAATAGTTACGTGTGTATATATATATATATATATATATATATATATATATATATATATATATATATATATATATATATATATATATAGGATATATATATATATATATATATAGGATATATATATATATATATATATATATACATATATATATATATATATATATATATATATATATATATATATATATATATCATATATATATATATATATATATATATATATATATATATATATATATATATATATATATATATATAAATATATATATATATATATATATATATATATATATATCCTTTATGAACTTTGCAATATATAAAAATGATATTGATAAAACTATAGCATCATAACTTGATGTATAAGTACATGGGTACTTTATATATCAAACAAGAGTAGATTTTATTCAAATAAGAGTATACAACAATTTACTTAAGTAAAATAAAAAATCACCTAATAAGGCTAATTTAGCTTCTCCAATAAAAAAAAATACCTTTTTTCTAAACCTAAGATCTCTTTCTTCATTTATGTTTTTAATTTCTTTATTGTTTATTATAAATCTGCATAAATGCATGTAAAAAAATAAAACAAATGTACTTCAAAAAAATAAAAACAAAACAAAAAAAAGAAAGAAAAAGATTAACTTAAACAAACCAGAAACTTCAAATTCGTAAATTTCTCTTGGTTTTACAAACTTCTATTAAGTTAATAATTCTCTTGGTTCTAAAAACTTCTATTAAGTTAATAAATACTTTATTGAAATTTTTTATTGTTTAAAGTAGAATTGGTATTATGATATAAGTATAAAATAATGGATCAAATTCAAAGTAAAAAGTCTTATAGTATTTTGATGATGATCTAAACAAAAAAGCTGAAAGCCCAGCTTTCAGCTTTTTTGTTTAGATCATCATCAAGCTTTATTGGAGGAGCAAGATGAATTTGACGGTAATAATTGTGAAGTTGCATTGCTTTTATTCTGACCTGTTGTTTAGTATCTGGAAAAAAAATTATTGTATTTCACATCATATTATTTTACTATTCTAACAATTTAAGCTAAAAACTTTTTTTGCATTTTTAACGCTTTACCACACAATAAAAAGCAAAAGCAGTTTTATTCTGTCTTAACTACCTTTTTTATTTGAAAATATAGATCCATACCTGTATTATTAAAAAAAATCAGTTTAAAATTTTTATATTATAACTTTTTATATTATTATAAAATTTTTATATTATAACACCCCCAGGGTGTCCAAGTATAGACATTTTTTTGCTTTTTATGACCATTTTTCAAAACTAAATGGGCACTGGGGAGGCACAAAAGTGATCCAATCAGGCTAATAATTTTCCAAAATCATTTTTAAGATTTTAGTATAGAAAGTAAAACAACTGCTTATAAAGCAGTTTTTTATTCACATGAATGATAACTAATAAATAAAAACATTAACTAGTTATGCCTATATACTATTTACATATATTACACGTAAATAATAATATATATTATATATGAATGTTATACGTAAATAATAATATATATAATAATAATTATTATATATATATTAATAATAATTCAATATATACTATATTTGTATATTATACGTAAATAATATATACTAAAAATAATAATAAAGATAAGTTGTAAAAACCTCAGTTGATCCAAAACAAATTTCCCATAAAAATCACAAAAAAAGTGATCTCAAATCAATAGCAATATTTTAATAATATTTATTCCGTTTAACATATTTTTAATTATCAAAAAAAGACAGATCTTATATATTATTTTATTTGAAGATGTTTACAAAAAAAAATCAAATACTATTTTAAGTCAATTGAACTTTTTATGCTAAAACTATTTATTTTCTACTAAACTCGTGATGTCATGGTCACATTTACATTGTGTGAAACACCCTGCCGACAAATAAGAAGTATTAATGATAATTTTTTAAAAATTGTTAATCATTACAAATGAGATGTTATAAAACTATTTCTTAGTTAAATTTAGTTACTAAATAATTTGTACAAGTTACATTGATACTAATTAATTAACTTTTTTTTTTTTTTTTTTTGTTACTTAGTTATCACATATATGGTAAAATTACAAATTTTTTTTTCTAAAGTAAAATAAAAAAAATTACCAATCTTTAACAAATTCAGCATCTGTTACATTATAACGAACAGCACTACATTTAAACCAGAGATTCTCTCCATAAGAGCCATCTGCATTATTGGAAGACTTAAGTTTTCCCTCATTAGCCATCTCTAAAGCCCAGCTTTCAGCTTTTTTGTTTAGATCATCATCAAGCTTTATTGGAGGAGCAAGATGAATTTGACGGTAATAATTGTGAAGTTGCATTGCTTTTATTCTGACCTGTTGTTTAGTATCTGGAAAAAAAATTATTGTATTTCACATCATATTATCATATATCATATAATGTAATATCAACATATATATAAAGGAGATTTAATTAGATGCTAAAAAGCATTTGAGTAAGAACTAAACTTATAATTCCTCAAACTACCTTCATCTACAAAACCAATTCCGATTGCAGGTTTTTTAGCTTCTTCAATTATTTTAGGAAGATTTTTACAAGTATTTTCTTTATCAAACTTTCCTTTCTTGACGTTTGTTTCAAACTCTGAATCAAAGTTTCTGTCTGAACTATACCGACAACAATAGTATGTACATTTTACAACTGAATTATTTCGCAAGATTTTATCAGCAAATGCACGACCACAACCAATAGATTTAGCTGATGACCATAACACCTTTAAGTTAAGTTTAAACATTTTTCTATAAATATGTAAATCCTTTTATTGCATATAATTATATTATGTTTTATATAATACATTTAATAAAAGATATTTTGAACTATTTAAAATTATTTTAAAAATTTTAAATAATTTTCAAAATTGTAATCTAATGATGATACATAATAATATATAAAATATATATACATTCACACACAAATACATACACACACGCACAAACATATATATATATATATATATATATATATATATATATATATATATATATATATACACGTCTTGTAAACGTCTTGTAGAAGACCTCATGAATATTGATTTAAAAAACAAACATATTCCCACTTGATATGTGTTTGTATGCTTTTTTTGCTTATTAGGCAGACATTAATATAAATAAGTTAAAACTGTTTTAAAAAAATGTTTGAGTCTCCTGGCTTTTCACTTTTTTTTTTACTCAACTTTTTGGTATGATTGGAAACTGCCCAACCATCAACAACCAGTTTCCAATCATGCCAGTAGGTGTTGAGTATAATCAGAACCATATGTATAACAAATATAACAATATAGGAACATTGCAAATAACAATGCAAAAAACATTACAATGCAATAGTCACAGATTATGCAAATGATTAACAAAGGTTATTGCAAGTAATGAAACAATCAAGTCACAACAATCATATTGAATGTTGTAAAGAGTTACATTATTGTGAATAGTGTAATAGGATAGATGCATTTTTATAAAAAATTTAATATATATATATATATATATATATATATATATATATATATATATATATATATATATATATATATATATATATATATATATATATATATATATATAAGATAGAATAAAGTAAATAATGTAATGAGCTATATGTTTCTACAAAACCACACATAAAGGTTAAGTATTTTATCCTTTTTTAAAAAGCATAAAAAATGACAGACCTTACTAAAATGAAGAACATCTTTAGAGTTTGAATCTTTGATTGGAAAATGAACTGATGACTTGCAAATCTCACTATACCTGCAAAAAAAAAATACAATAAAACTAATCAATTTAAAATCTATTTTCTGATAAGTCTTTATTTATGTAAAATAAAATAAAATTTCAAGTGATTATAATTAATCTATTATTGCAGATTTCTATATATCAAAATTAATTAATAATTTATTTAGAATTAAGACTATATTTATTTGAAATTATACAAATATATATATAATAATAATAAGAGTGGACTACAACAGATTTATTCATCTGTAAAACAGTGCAACTCTCAAAACCCCACTATAGTAGTCAATTGCTTGTGTAATTGTTTGTTATTGTATTTATTGTATCTGTTTTTGAAAATATTGACTGTATTGTTAAAAATAATTTTGTTTGTCAATATATTTCAAACCTGGAATAATTTGGTTTGCAAATTATTCCAGGTTTATTTAAATAATTTATTAAATTATTCCAAACTTAAAAAATTATATTTTTTTTATTTTGATGAATAAAGTTTGGAAGATTACTAACTTTTTGAAAAAACCCGATGGTAAAGTATCTTTTTAGGATGGTAAAGTATCTTTTTAAGATGATAAAGTATCTTCTTAAAATGGTAAAGTATCTATTTACCTTCTTAGGACTTAACATCATGCAATATGAATGGTAAAAGATATTTAAATATATTTGACTTTCATTACATTTCACTTTGTAAGTAAAAAGTACTTTCAACATACTGTATTTTTACTTAATTGTATTAGTTGAGCTTTTTGTTATTACTTTGTTACTTTTAGAGCCAGTACTTTTAAAGCCAGTACTTTTAGAGCCAGTACTTTTAGAGCCAGTGCTTTAGGAGACAGTATTTTAGGAGACAGTTCTTTTACTTTTTACTTGAGTATTAAAAAAAAAAAACGTCAACTCTGAATTTATTTATTAAAAAAGTTTCTGATCTCTTGTTAAATAATATAATTACTTTCATAACAACAAACAACAACAAAAAAACAAAGTAATTAAAAGTTATTAATAAATTAATAATAACTAAAAATAGGATACCAGTCTGAGATTGAATCTTCTACTGGTGCAATTCCATTTTGCAAACAGTTGTAGGCCAAATTCTCTCCTATATGTGTAAGATATGAAAAATGTTCTAAGTTTCCTTGTAATGCATTAAATTCAGCTTGTTTCTCAGCCTCATCAGCAAGCTTTGTGCTCCATTTCAGAGCAGGTGTTTGGTGCACTTTAACTCTCAAGGTATTATGTAAATTTAATGCTACTTGCTGCCATACATCTGGATCTACAATTAAATTGAATGTTTTTTTTCTATATATATTGAATTTCATATCTTTATCATTTTTGAAAATAGTGAATAAATATTATTAACTGATATTAACTGCTAAAGTGCACATTTCTAACTTTTCACATTTCTAAATGTTTCTAATATAACAAAATAAGCAAAACATATTAGTAAATTATTTGGTAAAAACTTTATAATTACTAAAAAAACCTTATAAATATGAATACTAGTTTAAAATAATAGTACTGCACAAGGCAAGCATTTACAAATATGGACAAAAAAATATTTCTCAAAAAATTTTATATAAAAAAATTAAAATATTATTGGACTATATTTTAGATTAGTCTGAAACATTATAACCTGAAGGAAATTTTAAAACAAACAAAAAACGCATATATATATATATTAGTATATAAAGTAAAGTATATAAAGTTTAAACCCCCCTCAATTTGAGGGGGTTACAAACTTTATATGGTCATAATTTTTGAACACTAAAATATTTTACTATGAAATTTAAAGTTTCTCTATGAATATGTTTAGTTAAAAAAAGTACAAAAAATATTTCATCAACTTGTTGCTATCACATTTGGGGCAAGGAGGCTGAGATTTTAGGGTTTCTTGTTCCCATTATCCTATCACAGTAATTTTCTTTTTAAAGAATTTTTTCATCATATATATGAACATAAAAAAAATTTGGAATATTATTATTGTTTATAAGTTGGTTATTTCAAACATTTAAAAACCTTCCTACGCCACTGTGTATATATATATATATATATATATATATATATATATATATATATATATATATATATATATATATATATATATATATATATATGTGTGTGTGTGTGTGGAGTCTGGAAACAAATAAATCTATAAAACATGCGCATCCTCCCCTGACCCCAAATGTGAGGGCAATATATTGCTGAGCTTTATACTATTACAATACTAAACTAATTTTATATTTAATAACTGATTTCAAACTTCATCTAATAATATTTTAATGCTTGAAAGTTATAAAAATGAAAATTTTATAACCCTCTCATTTTAGGTAGGATGGAAACTTTATAAAGTCAGTTTACGGTGTCAGGATTAAAACATCAATATTATAAAATATCAACATTATAAATTTTCTTACAAGTATAGATGTTTTTTTTAAAAGGATTTTTAAATAATGGCATTTGGCTGGCAAAACCAGATCCCATTCGGTAGATTGGAAGAGATGGTAAATAAGCAGAACTCAAAACTGCTGGAGTTTGAGTATAAGATAAATCTTGAATATTAGGATATGGCATGATTTGATCAACAGGCATCTTAAAAACAGATCTGGAAAAAGGATTCAAATTATTATTATTTAAAACCATCCAATGAGCATTAACCACAGGGGAAAAGGACTTCATCTGTCCAGTTTTAGAATCAATGATAAATTTAGCGGGAACTTTATAGAAAAGTGCTCTGCGATCTGCATTATGTGGCATATTATTTTTTCTTTTTCCGTGCATATGTTTACCTTAAGAATTTATCATCAAAAAAAATTATTCAAATGTTTAGCATCAAATAAAATAAAATAAAAATAGAATATACTTGCTTACCCAATGTTGATCTTTTTCTTCTATTTTTTTCACAATATTTTGCTGTAGTATTGGATGGCAAAACATTTTTATAAAAATGAAAGTACCTGCCTTTAAAATTAATACTCTGAATAGGTTCTTCAACATTTCCTGAAACAATAATTTAGAAACAATTAAATACTAATAAAAAATTGTTGAACAAAACTAAACAACAATTTTTTTTTTACTTTAATAGAAATTTTCAATTTGTAAATTTAAATTAACATTAACTTTTTAACGAAGACTTAATTTTATTTGTTTGTATTTATAAGTTTTTATTTGTCATATTTATTAATGCTACATATAGATAATGTAAACAAAAAAACAGGTATTTATTAGACTACTTAGATAGTGTACAAATATATACTAATATATACATTTACAATAGTGCAACACCAAGTACTTACCGAGCTATAAGTATCAATTTACAATATACCAAGTTAAAGTAATGATAGTACTGTAAACAAAAGTATAGTATATAAACAAATATCTTTAACATGGCCTACTATATAACATGGACGGATTTGTTGCCTTGAAGGCAAAAAATTAGTGAGCCGAAAAAATATGAGTGAAGTTTACAAATGATTTAACAATATTCTGATGATTTAAAATACATATGTTTTTAAATATAAGCAATAGTTTATTTTGCAATTCTGAAAAAGTGTTGTGTTGTTGGTTGTAGGAGTAATTATAAACGAAAGATTGAAGAATGCTTCAGTAACAGCAATCATGTGCCATACAAAACTGTTATTAGTTTTCCTAATAACAGTCATTTAGAACTTTGAAATTGTTGGGTTAAGTTGTCAACTGAACTAATTCTGAGCCTCACAGAAAACTCAGCGATATGGATTGATCATTTTGAAAGAAAATACTTAAAATGAGGTAAAAGTATAACATTGAACCATTCTGAAAATCTATATCAACAACTACTACCAGCCAAAACATCTTGTTAAAGCCATCTCATCTAATTCAATTAGTTGAATTAGAAATGGCTTTACAGTTTGTACAACCATCCTTTGCTAGATGAAACAGATGATTTCAGAAAATGTTTTTTGATGAAGGTGATGTTACTCCTACCATATAGAGTATTACAACTGATGAAGACTTACATGTAAAGCTACATTTGAAAGGTATGCAGTTCCATTACCTAAATGGTTTTAAGAAGGCAGTGTTTGTAAATGTCAGCATGCCAGCATGCTAATTAATTTTGTTTCTTATATACATGAAGTTGCAGAGAAGGTATCAAAAAGTATATTATCAGAGTTATATAAATTATCTTTTTATAAACCACAAGGACACCCAATCTATACAAATGAAATAATTAGATTTTCTCTTATGCACAGATATTCATCAAAACAGGCATATACTTTGCTATTAGAAGAGTTTCCACTTGTTGTCTTATTTAATATCACTCGTTGTCTTATTTAATATCACTTTCAAAAAATAGCATCAATCAAATATCAGGATTATTACTTTTGGTAAATGGTAGTGTTAGTGCTGACTACATTGTATTGATGAGATGTATTTACAAAAGGGTGTCCAATATCACGGAGGAAGTTTGACTTGTGCTGATGATGATGGTAATTTCTATTCGGGTCTAGTTGTGTTCATGGTGGTTAGTTTAAAAGAATTGACTCTTTTGGTTATTAAGGCCAGAGTTTCAAATTTCTAGTTCTTTGATTAGTTTGCATATAGAAGAAACATTAGTAACTTTACATAAAGCATCTTTTAATGTACAAGCTGTAATAACTGACAATCATGCAACAGATGTTTCAGTATTCAAAATTTTATGTTTAAAATTTGGTGAACAAGATAATGGCATATTTTTTACTTTTATAGGATCTGGATTAACAACTTATATGACAGTGTTTATTTACTAAAAATTATTAGAAATGATTTATTAAATTCAAAACGGTTTTTATTTCTGCCTGGTGAAATTTCTTGGAGTATATTGCATAATACTTGTGAGAAAGATGATTTGTTCCAATGTGTTCCTTTAGCTTTAAATATTATTGATGAAACCACCTCTGTTGCAATCATCAGCTATTTTCCACAGAAAACTGCAGCTGTTGGATTTTTTAAGCTTTTTAATATTTGGTGGACTATTTCTAACTCAAAGGTAATGTTTAATACAAATAATAGGATTGGTAATACAGCTATTCCAGGTGATAAAAAACCACAGTTCTTTCAAGATTTTGCTATATGAATTAATAAATGGAAAAAGATTTAAAATATGCAGTAAATATACCTTGTCTGTTCAAACAACTAATACAATAATTATAACACTAAAGGGTACTGCAAGTCTGATGGAACATTCTCTCAACGCCATCTTTTGCAATTGCATAATATACAGATTATATTGAAAAAGGTTTCTTAATTTTAAGATTTGCAATATCTCAGGAATAGTGATTCTTAGAAAAAAATGCACAAAGACAATTTTTGTAGATAATTTCATGATCTAAAACATTTGCCTGATCTAATTTTTTTTTGTTAATAAACTTTCACCACAAGAAGTTTAAAATATAGCAAAAAGTTACCAAAAAGCTTTATAAGACTTAACAGTATTTATTTTTTATACCATGACTAAATTTATATTGGTTTTTGAGGTGATAACTATTCAATTATTTTGAAAAAAAAATGGTTGCTATGGGCATTGCTAGGTAAGCAAAGTCTACCCTAATCGTTCTTAAGATGAATTAGACCAATTTATGCACAAATTCGACGAATCTAAGTACTCCAATTATTTTCTACATTGATTAAAATAAAATAAAATCATTTTCTATAAAATCTCAAAAATAAAAATTTAATACGTTTTGAATTGGGGTTGACCACTTTAATTTTGTTTTTTTTTTTTCTTTCAAAAACTTCTATTAAAAATAAATTAAAAATTTTCTTCTTTCAAAAACTTTAATTAAAAATACTTGTCTTTCCACCAGCAAGCGCTAAATTTTTTTTTTTTTATAATATCAAAAATAATATTCAAATCCCCCTCAATTTGAGGGGGTTGCAAATTTTATATAGTCATAATTTTTGAACGCTGAGAGATAATACTATGAAACTTAAAATTTATCGATAAATATAAGCCTAGTTGAAAATAGTACAAAAACTATTACATCAACTTGTTGCTCTCACGTTTGGGACAGTGTCGGACAAAGCATCCTTATTTTACATAAGTACTAACTTATAAATGTTTGGAGTTTGCTTCATGTCTGGAAGTAAGCTATCTAAAAGACCGCCGATGCTGGCGCCGTCACTGTGTGTGTGTATATATATATATATATATATATATATATATATATATATATATATATATATATATATATATATATATATATATATATATATATATATATATATATATATATATATATATATATATATATATATATATATATATATATATATATATATATATATATATATATATATATATATATATATATATATATATATATATATATATGTATTTATAGTATAATATTACATTTTATATGTTTGATCGTACATATTTTGCAGACATGCAATAATGTTTTGAGTTTTAATTTTAACAAAATATAGAAAGAGAGAATTTTAAAATGAGAACATTGCAAAGAGAATAAGTAGTTACGCAATCAAACAGCTACTATACCAAAGACGATGTTCAAATTATTTAACTACAATTATAAGGTTAAACTTTATTAACTTTTACTTTTGACGATCCCGGGAAATTTCGGAGACTAATCCCGGGATTTTGGGATAAACAATTTGTACAATTTGTACAAAATCAAGGGATTTTGGGATCCGAGGATCCCGGGATTGCCATCCCTATTTGCAAAACTATTTTAGGCTGTCATATTTTTTAAAGTCATTTTTGTGGAGTTGTAGCAAAAAATGAAAGTATGGAAAAAAGAATTACTTGGGGTAGTATTAATAAAATTAAAATTGAACCTCTTTATTTTCAACAAAGCATATTATACGTCATATACACTATAAAGAGTGTTATATTCCTCTCTATCTTTTCACTATTTGCATTTTTCAAATAAAAGGTCGGCTGAATAAAAATGAGCAATTGTTTTCATTTAGTATTTGGTCAGCTTTACGTTAATAAAACTTCAGAAGTTTTGCTCGAATTTTTATTCACGTAAAGTTAAGTAATATTCTGAGCATTTGCTCAGTTTTACGTGATCAAAAACTTAACCAAAATTCCTTAAGTTTTTATTCATGTAAAGCTGACCAATAACTGAGTAAAAGCAATACACTTTTTCACAGTTCCGATATAAAATTTATGCGCGCGCAGAAATGGATGTAAAAACGTAAACAAACGTTATTTTAACAGTAATTTGTTCGAGATTTACAAAGCACAAAAAAGGTTTATCAAACAATATTATTAAACCAGAGCAATTAGTCTTATATAATTATTAAAAAAAGAGCCTTTCTAATCCATTTTAAATAATATATTAAGAAACAAGTGAAAAAAAGTACCCCAAAACATTGACTTTTGGATTTGTAAAAGAATAATTAAACTATCTTATTTTGTACTCTAATGTACTTAATGTAGTGTTTAAGGCTAAATTTATATATATATATATATATATATATATATATATATATATATATATATATATATATATATATATATAATAAATATTAGCATACAAATATAATATTATAAATATTAGCATTTAGCTAATTCCTGATACTGTGGGTAACAGTAATATATACAATATATAGTATATATATAGTAAATATATATATATATATACATATATATATATATATATATATATATATATATATATATATATATATATATATATATATATATATATATATATATATATGAATATATATATATATATATATATATATATATATATATATATATATAGATATATATATATAGATATATATATATATATATAGATATATATAGTATATATTACTGTTACCCGCAGTATCAGGAATTAGCTAAATGCTAATATTTATAATATTACATTTATATGCTAATATTTATATATATATATATATATATATATATATATATATATATATATATATATATATATATATATATATATATATACATATATATATATATATATATATATATATATATATATATATATATATATATATATAATATTTTTATTGTTATAAAAATATTTTAGACAATAAATATATATATATATATATATATATATATATATATATATATATATATATATACATATATATATAGTACAATAATATAATATAGTACAATATATATAGTAACAATAATATAACATATATAGTACAATAACATCTTTGGCCTTCTAATAACTTGTTCAACCAATATCCTTAACTTAGCAATTTCTTGCTAATTGTTTTTTTTTAGTTCTTTATTTTTCATTGTCATTTATCAAGTCATTTGAGCTGCACTTTTCCAACCAGAGGGAACTGTGTGGTAAATGCAACGTTCAGGACATTTAGTGTTAATATTAAACCCTTAATCATACATTATACAAGAGTATTTTAGAATACAATCTAAACATCTGTTGCGATTTGTAATTTCTTTATCCAAAATTTAGTCTCTGTAAGCTTTAGATATTATTTAAAGAAACTATTGATGAATTCTGAGCTACGGGTACTAATGTTTTTATAATGTTGTATTGTTTGTATTCACTCCTTGTTAGTTTCTGTAAGTCAAAACATTTTAAGTTTTTCATAATAAACTCTGTTATATCTGAAATTTAGTGTAAGTCTATATAATTTAATTTCTTAAATCTGTTTTGCATCGCCTGTCTTATAATATCTTTACTTGGAACAAAAACCATGTGCTTAAAAAGTGAGCTAAAATTTGCTAATCCTAAAGATATAATAAACCTGTCAGCAAGATCAGTTGTCAGTAATCCAAGTATTAGCATCATTAAAAATTTGTCTTTGCTGTATAACATTTATCTTGGTCCAAGTAATTAAGGGTTTTTTTAAGTTTCAAAAAATAGCAGTAGATGTTTTTTTAATATCACTTGATCTTCTTTTGATTAATGGTGCATTACCTGATGAAACACATTGATAGATGTAAGGCCAGTATAAAAGTCGCAAGATTTATCATTTTTAAAATAAATGTTTTTATACAAGTAAATTGCAATAAAACGATTTGTTTGGATTATTTTTATATACAAATTTGTTTCATAGTAATAACTGATGTGGTTGAAGTTAATTTTTCAAATAAATCTTTATTTTTTTTAATTTCGTGCTGAAGTTCTTTTTTTAAGTTATCAATTTCCTTTTTTAACCTTGATGCTCTATTATAAAACAACGCTTAACATTAAATTCAACATAATTTGATGGATCAATGTTTAAAAAATCTGTATTAAGTACATTAAATAATATAAGTCTTTAAGCATTGTAGCCTAAGTTAAACGAAAAATGTCGATTTTTAAACGATAGTGCTTTGTCAGGAAAATTGTCTGAACATACTCTCATTTTACCTATTTATGTATATTTTATATTTTATATATTTTATGGTAAATAATTTACTATGACGCAATAATGTAGGAGTTGAACGATTAATTAGTTTTCTCTATATTTCTCTGAGCTGCAGTTGTTTTTATATTGTTATATATCTGTGTGTGTGTGTTGATAACGGATAACAAATGCTTAATCAAATTGTAATTTGCAGTTTCACAAGTTAGAGCTTCGTTTTACATTTTGTATCATACATAAATCATCTTTCCACATTTCTAGATTGTACTCGTTGTTTTTACAATCGATGAGAGCTCTACAATCGATATTTTCGATCTCTTGAGACTTCTATAGGTATAGTTATAGGTATAGGTTCAGTATTTAAATTTTTTTCCATTATAAACCTTTATAACTTAAACCGTTGAAATAATTTTACGTTTTTACTTCCATTTCTATTCATAATAAGTTTACGTTTTTACTTCCATTTCTGCGCGCGCATAAATTTTTTATCGGAACTGTGAAAAGGTGTATTGCTCATTTTTATTCACCCGGCCTAATGAAAATAAATAAATTTTTTGCAATGATTTTTTATAAACAAAGTTTTAATTTTGATTTGTTTTTGCGGGGGAAAAAAAGATTTAATAGTGAACTACTCTAATGAACAATAAATAGTCTGTCAGAGTGGTTAACTACTAAAATCTGAAGTTAGGTTGGTTTGTTTGTTTACGTTAAAAACCTGCTTATATTTTTTGGTATAATATATATCTATTATGTTTTTATTTACTTAACTAAAGATTTCTTAAGAAAAATAAATTTTCTTAATAACAGTCTATTGCTAAATAGAGTTCCAGATAATTTATATTTTGCAATAAAAGCTTACCCGGAGGATAAAAAAGAGCGACAACGTATGTACAAATTGCCTCTTGCTCATTTAAGCCTTTAATTCGGCGACTTTTCTTTCCAACTCCAATTCGTTTTGAAGCTTTCCAAACTAGTTGAGTAAAAGAGCGCGTCTTATTTACTGTGGTATTTTTGAAATTGAAATCCATTTCTTTATTGCATACCTGGTTGTACCTAAAAGTATATTTAATATATAAAAACCTTGGACGTATAATTTAATTAATTTTAATATTGGGGGGATCAATAAAGTGTTACGGATGTCAAAAACTGCGTGACGTAATTTATCGACGACCCCCAATAAAAGAAGTTTAAAAAATTTTTACTAAGGGTGTCGCAATGACTTAGTACCCAGACCACATGGTATACAAAAAATTTTCTCAAACTTTTTATCAAATGCAAACCTCTAGTTATTAGTGATTTACAAGTTATAGTTTTTTAAAACTATTTCTTTTTCAATTTTTTTTTTGCTTTATATTTCATATATATAAGAGGAACACAAAGAACAGCAGCATTTTAGCTTAAATAAAAATTAAAATTGCAAAATACTTTTTTAAATTAAAATTTCAAAATACTTTTTGAGGTATATTATTAAACAGTTAAAATAATTTATGTGAATAGCTCTAAAACTAATTATGCATGTGTTTACTAATTTAAGAATGGTTGTGAATTTTAATATATATATATATATATATATATATATATATATATATATATATATATATATATATATATATATATATATATATATATATATATATATATATATATATATATAATATATATATTAATATATATTAATATATATATATATATATATATATATTAATATATATAATATATATATTAATATATATATATATATATATATTATATATATATATATATATATATATATATATATATATATATATATATATATATATATATATATATATATATATATATATATATATATATATATATATATATATTAATATATATATTTGGCCCTAACGAATAGGAAATTTAAGCATCAAATCTCAAATATACTCACCAATTTATTTGTGAATAGAATTTAAATTCTAGCAAAAATAAGTTATTTTCCCATTTCAACTATTTAAAAAAACATTTGTATTCTAGTGGGTAAAGTTTGACCAAAATGAAATATTCCACGGTCATAACTTTCGAACACTAAAATGTAATTAAATGAAAATGAAAAACTGTAAATAAATTTAGTGTAAGAAAGTGACGCTGAATGTTTTATAAACTCAATGCCATTAGGTAAGGAAAGAGGAGGTGAGCTTGTAACAGTATTTTAGTTACCAAGCAACAATTACCAAAATTTTTTATGCAAAACGCTCTGATTTCACCTAAATATGAACATACTTAAGTTTAACTCAAAAATCAGAATTAGGACGTCTTTTGAATGTTCAAAAAAATCTTTTGCGGACCAAATGCAGCTGAGCATGTTACTAAGCTGTGAAATTGTGGTAGAAATTTGTATACTTAAAGTAGTTTTGCACGTTTTACTTTATAAAATGGTTTAAAAACTGCCACCGTTGTATGTAGAAAACTAGGAATAAGACATATTTTACGTAATTAAAAGTCAATTTATAAAAGAATATTTTCTCCATTTAGTTGTATATATATATATATATATATATATATATATATATATATATATATATATATATATATATATATATATATATATATATATATATATATGTGTGTGTGTGTATATATATATATATATATATATATTTATATATATATATATATATATATATATATATATATATATATATATATATATATATATATATATATATATATATATATATATATATGTATATATATATATATATATATATATATATATATATATATATATATATTTATATATATATGATGATGATGATGATGATCATATATATATCATATATATATATGATATATATATATCATCATATATATATATCATCATATATATATATATATATATATATATACACAATATGATGTCATTCTGTTATCATATATATGATGATAGAGTATGGCGTGTGTGCCATCTATATATATTATTTTTGAACTTAATCCTGTTAGTGCTAGTGTCTATTCCAGCGTTTTTGGTACGCAACCCTTGGCACCCATTGCAATCAAAGTTATGACAAAAAAGAGTGGCAGCACTCTTTGTAAAAACGTGGTAGAACTGTCCTACCACTAGAGACTTTTATTTATTTTAAAATACTTTTGAAGTTATATAGAGATTATATACAAATATATGCAACAATATTATCCACTTTAACAACGAAAAGATTTTTTAAAAAATCTAAAAATTTTAAAAACATCAAAAAACGGGGGGAAATTTGTGTATGTGTCATGATTAAGATATTTATGTTATTAATGTGTTCACGTATTTAGTCATAGTAAGTTCTGAAACTTAAGAAAGAAAAAAAATTAATTAGACAGTCCTATAATTTTAATAATTTTTTTCTCCGCTTTGCTCTTGTTTTTTATGTTTCACTTCCTTACAGTCTGATTATGAAAAAACTCCTTTTGTCAGTGGTTTTGCAACACAGAAGAAGCTTTTTTCTTTTTTCGCCATAAATATATATATAGTCTTTTTTTGCAATAAATATATATAAATAATATATATAAACACATTTGTTGTATGCAAATGTAAAAAATCCACTTATAAAATGTTTTATACAGGATCGTTTGTATGATATAAGAAAATTTTTCTAATAATTACAAATCGTTTGTATATAAGAATAATATAAGAAATCGTTTGTATAATATAAGAAAATTTTTCTAATAATTACAAATCGTTTGTATTAGTGTTGCGAAGGTAAAATTTACCGGAAAATTTACCGGAAAATTTTCCGGTAAATTTACCGGAAAATTTTGAAAATTTACCGCCTGGTAAATTTTAAAAATTTTTTTCACTTATTTTTTTTTCTTTTTTTTTTTTTTTGATTTTTTAAAGGAAAATTTACCGTTCTCTAATTAAAATTTACCGTTAAATTTACCGGTAAATTTTACCGGTAAATTTTGAATCAAACTTTACTGGAAAATTTACATCACTAGTTTGTATATAAGAATAATATAAGAAATCGTTTGTATAATATAAGAAAATTTTTCTAATAATTAATTATTAGAAAAATTATTAATTAATTACAAAAAGAGACTTGTAATTATTAATTAGTTACAATTTGTATAATATAAGAAAATTTTTCTAATAATTAATTATTAGAAAAATTATTAATTAATTACAGAAGAGACTTGTAACTATTACTTAATTACAAGTCTCTTTTACTCAACCTGTTTTGTTTTTACCTTTATTATTTATGTTATTGAATTTAAAAAAAATGACAAGAAACATATTGTCTTATCCAAGTGGAAAATTTGAATCTTCAATTTTTGATTGCCTCTTTTGATTATTTCTAATACGAAAATTGAATATTAAATAAACTTTATATTTTTACAGATATAGCTAAAAATACGCGCGTCACAACGTGACATCGATTTGTCACGCTGTGACGCTCTTAATTGTGCAATAACTTGTAAAATAATAATAAAAAAATAATAAAAAATTATCCTAAAAAACATATATTTTTTTACCAAAATAATATAAATTTAAAATATTTTTGATACACAGATATTATAAAATTGTATTTCCCCAAATTGCTATTAAGACACAAAAAAAAAGGACCTCGATATTTGACTTTTGCCAAATATACTTCAAAACTTGCCAACTCAAATGCTAAATGTACAAATGTGCCAACTCAAATGCATATACAACAGCTGAAGGGAAGGAGCGGGGGAATGGAATACCCTTTACAGGCCCTGGATGCGGCTTTTTAGTAAATTGTTAAAGCCAAAATTGTTTTGCGTATATGACGTCACTTGTGGCAAAAAACTAGAAAAGTAAGATTTAATTTTAATTTTTTTAGGAAAACTCCTTTTATTAAAAATATATATAATATATTTTATAGGATATATTTTAATTAAGACTATATATGGTAAGTACTATGTTATTTCATTAAAATTACTATTGTAATAAATGCAAACTCTTATTTGTGAAATGATATATCTGTACCAGTTTTATATCTTTTTGTATAAATTGTATGCAAAATAATTAAAATTAATCAAAAAATGTAAAATAAATGCAAAAGCAAATTTGAATTATAAATCTTTTTTTGCCACAAACTGACGTCAATGCGCCTAATTTTGCCTCATTTTTATATTTGCGTTTTACAGCTAAGGCCGCTACTATAGTTTTTAAAGGTCTAAAATTTTCTTAGTTCTGCCATTTGTTTAGCGTTACGTTTAAACGTCTATAAGTGTAAACGTCTTTATTATATGTTGAGTTTGCAGGCAGTATATGGAACAAGCGTGTATAATAAATTTGTGTTTAATCTGTGTAAAAAGTGAGAAAACTTTAAAATTTTATAGAAATCTTTTTTTCTTTACAATTAGTCGTTGCTATAAATATAAAAGTAAGTTGAAAAAAATTTAATACGGTAAGGGGAGGTCTTAAAACCCCCAAAACGACTCTGATGGTAACGTACTAAACCAATAAGCTATCAATGATATGTGTTTAGGAGAAAAACAAACCTAATTATAAATCTCTTATAGGCTTTACGTATGCAAAAAAGGTGCGGATGATAATATTTTTGCTATTAAAGCAATTTTTCAGAATAAATTATTTTACTAACAAATATTGAATTAAATAAAGATGCGTATTCTACGGGTCCGTAAAGCTACGATATATAAGAAAAAAGTGTAAGTAAGATCGATGCGGAATAGACTTACAAAGACTCGGGTCCGGTCAGCTAATACTTTATAATAATAGAGTACGGCTTTAGTATATACTCTATGATAATAGACAAAAAAAAAAAATACTACAGTTCCGTTAAAATATTTAAATATAAGGAACAACATTTAAAACGACCAAAATGTAAAAGTTTAAAAATTACCAAACTAGCGCTTATTAAATTTTTTTTTCAATTCCTTATGTTTGACTAATTAGTATTACTTCCCTGTGTTTAACTCATAATTTTAACTTATCATATAATTAAATTTTTCCATTACTTTTTTTTGATACTTAAAATAAAAATTGACACATCCTAATAATACACCCTTATAAGATAAATAATTTTAAAAATATTCTTCATGTGAATTAGCGCAACGTCTTGTTTTAATGTTAACAAAAACTAATTGTTTTAAAACTAATTAAATTTAATTTTTTTTTACCATGCATTAACAACTTCTTCGGCGTGTAGTTTTTTTTTGTAATCAGTACATAACATGAAAGTGATTTCACCGGGAATCGTCGGCTTGAAAATATTTCCATCTTTTGCTATTGCATTGGCTAAATGTTGAGCTTTTGCTGTGAGAATTGAGTCAAGGATTAGACTCCCTGCTTTGTGATCCTTTCTGTGTTCGTTTACCTTTTTTAAAAAATCTGCAGTAAAATTACGGGCTTCATTTAGCGAGTTGAACCATAGCAAAGTAAATAAAAATTGGAATACTATTTCCATTATTTGATATTAATTATTTTATTTAACAACAGATATTAGTAGCAATAGTTTTATATTTTAAATTTGCATGATTCACAAAAGTGCAAATTTAAGGGAATCCTGAAACAGACAAGTCAAACTCGTCTTCTGTATGTTAGTTTGTACTAGAAAGCTTTTTTCTTGTTTCACTTGAATAAATATGAACATCAGAAATAACGAAATCGAAGCATTTAAGCAAACGATGAAACCGAAACCAAAAAAACCTAGAATGCTCTTTAAAAAAATTATGGTAACTTTTTGTTATCTTAGATTTTTTTTGATGCAGTGTTTTTTGTAGAAAAATTTTCCTTTATAGTTAAACTTAAAAGCTATTTGTTTAACAGTCATGTTTACAAGAGAAGACAAAATGAAAACATTTTTATTATCTTTTCACTATTAATATTATAAGTTTTGAAATTTATTGAAAATCATGTTAAACAAAGTTAATCACAAACATTAATGCGATTGCGTTTAACAAAGTTAATCACGATCTGCAATTATTACGTTTATGTTAATGGTTAAATAGTAATTTCCATGCCATTATTTCTCATCCCTCTCGAAAAAAAATATTTGGAAAAACCATAAAACTAACGATAACGAAAAACTTCAAAATATGTTATATTTTGAAGTTTTTTGTTAAGTTATTGAAACGCCAACTTGGTATGATTACGTGAGTAATAAAGTAATTTAATAAATGGGTAGTTATTAAAAACTTATTAAAACAAGCTAACAGTAAGTCTTCTCTTTTTATTCACATATTCATTTGTATGATTTTATCCAATCTTAGATTGATTTATTAATTTTTATTCTCTTTTTTTTTTGTTATTTTCTCATCATTATGTGTTTCAAAGAGTAAAAACTTTTTTACTGGCAAGCTATGATCTTTTTAAATTTTTTAAGCAAAAAAAATTTTTTTCAAATAGAAAATTCTAAAACTCCACATACCATAAATATATGAAAATCCAAGTTTGATTTTAAAACACGTCACGAGATAGGGGAAGGGTAAGTAATTTCTGTGACGATTTGTTACAGAAGAAGTGGTGGGTTTTGCGACGCAACATTTTTTTTTTTCAAGTTTCAAATCTAGAAAATACTTTCTATTGATTAAAGCGTGCCTAGTCTAAAACACGAATCCTCAGCACATGTACGTTCATGCGGCTATTTCAATTTAACATAAACTGGAATTGACTTTTTTTTAAATTCGCCTAAAGAAGTCATTTAAATTATATATTTGTTAAAAACTAAGTATACCTTAGGAGGTTATTTTTCCGTTAAGTCACTGCTAATTTATGCAACTTTATATCGAACTATAGGAACGCTAAAAAGAATATATATACACGCCACTTCCCTCATACTATCTTATAGCCTGCTGCTACAATGGACTGCTGTTACATTGACTGACCAGCAGCAATCTTTTCCTTCATTATTTCTATAATGAAAGAAAAGATTACTGCCCCTAGCCAAACCCTCAGTCAATGTAGCAGAGCTCCTTTGTAGCAGCAGGGTATAAGATAGTAGATGTATTTACTGAAACTAACAAATATTTTTTTATATTTAAAAGGTTTCTTCGGACGAGATAATACGGTGCAATAAGCAAAAAAAAATAATTATTTTAGGTGGATAAACTGCAGATTTACCAAATATAGATATAATTTAACAACAATAATAGTTATAACATATAAAACAACTTAAAAATAAAAAATCAAAATTCAAAAACTTGTTCTCTTAAAAAGAGTTGAACCCTTACCCATGGTTGCCGAGATACACATGAGACCTATGATATAAGTTATGCAAATTTTATCATCCACAGCTCTACGCTAACATGGTGTATAATTAAAAATTATATACACTATTCAATTTTTTTGGCCTACAAATTATAGTTTTTTTGTGAGCCTCGCGGCTCCTGTTATCTGTATGTCGACAAGGAAAACTTGTCGACATACAGACAACAGGAGCCGCTTAAGACATTTACCGGCGCCGGCATATTCTAGATAATCTGAAGTAGCTTTTAAAAAGTATTTAAATTCCTTTTTTTTATTCTGACCCTTTAAATGTGTTTTTTTTAAATCATTAGACACTGAATTTAAAAAATTAGCTCTTAAAAAAGTATATTTAGAAGATAATTAAGAAACACAGAGGATTTTTTTTTTTTGAATAAGAATTTAAACGAATATGCAAAACGCAGAACCCAGGTTCCTACGTTTTTCTTTCATATTATAAACTAAATGTATATACACGCGAAAAGTTTATAATAGGAAAATTATCGTACTTAAAAAATAATTTTAGTTATTAAGTAAAACGTGTTTGTAATTATGTACAAATTGTAGAAAACTATAAAATAAACGAATAAAGATTTGAATTTGGAGGATTTCAAATGGAGGTTTATTAATTGTCACGCTTCAGTTTTTTTGTTTGCTTTTTTGGTTGTAAACTATTCTTCAGCGACCCCTTTCCATTTTTTGGAGAATGTTTTTCATACATTGGTTTTAATTGTGGACGATCAGAAAACATCGCTTTATTATCTAAATAAAAAATAAAAAAAATAAACAGCTTATAATAGAAAGAATAATACACAGATACCCGCGCGCTTTTTTGCAATAACTAATAACTGTATACACACTAGTGGTAAAAAATAAAAAAGAATTTTAGGATTTTTAAATGAACATATCACCTAGTTATGTGCTTTTATATTTTGAAAAAAATGACAATAACTTTCAGGTACATCCTTTTAAAAAACTCACGCACCAAATGAATTTTGGTTCCTAAGGGATTGTCCATAAATTACATAACACTAAATTTATTTAACAGAAGTAAGAGATTTTAAGCTATTTTACACGGCGATTTTAATTAAACTTAACGCGCTATTTTGATTTTTGATTTAACTTAATGCTCTGCGAAGGTAAACTTTTTGTTTCGTTTATTAGTTTCACTATTAAATGAAACAAATAATAAATTGTTTAAGGCATTACAAGTTCAGTTATTACTTAACCATTCAAAATGTCAAACAAAAATTCAACTCTAACCAAAATATCAAGAGACGTATTGAAAAAGAGTTTGATTCACTTTGAGAAAAGTTAAAGATTACGTGAGAGTCAATGTCAAAAATCATTAGGAACAATATGTAAAATGCCAACAAATTGGCAAATAATTAACCGATACTAGCTTGGCATCAGACTGTAAAAATGTGAAAGAACGAATAAAGAGAATTTCAGATGGATTTTTAGAACTATGGGTTAATTTAAATTTTCCGACAATAGACAAAAAGTCAGTGCCAAGAATAACATAAAAATTTATTAAAAAGATACAAATAGAAATCAAAAAACCATGTATTTAAAGTTTTGATGGTTTATTAGATATAACGAAAGAGAATGGACTTTGGTTGCATTCTAAAAATAAAAATCTCTATTTAAAGAAAAAAGAGACTGGTAGGGTTGGATATACTACAATGAAGCCTGATGATCCTAAAAAAAATACATCCTTCAAAAAAATTAAAACTTGAAACAATTCATCAATGCCATCAACTTCCATTCTGAATGAATACAGAGAGGAACACGTAAGTAGTAATGAGTCTGTGACAGTGGCAGTGATTATGAACCTTTAATAATATTAATAAACAAATAATTAAAAAAAAACAAAAAATTAAACAGAGGACAGTCGAGGCTGTTAAATTGGTTAAGCAAAACTAAATAAACAAAAAGCTGCCACAGTGTTCAGCAACTTAAGATGGCTCGTGTCGATCTTCCTGCACCAACTCAACTAGCATACTTTATGGCATAAGGGCATACTATATGACATAAGTCATAAGGGAGGTAAAAAGTAACGAGATTAATTAAGGAAAGAACTAAAAGTCAAGAATTGTTGTTTGCATTTTGATGGAAAAAAGATAGCTGGGATGAAACATCAAATAGTCGTGATAAAAAATAATAAAAAAGAGGTTAGGCTAAATAATGGTATTGAAGAATGGAAAGTCTGAGACAAATTTTGAAGGACTTCGAGAACTTTTGAATGAATATAATTGATGAGTATGAACTGAAATAGAGAGATGACAAGCAGTTTTTGAAGCACCTGATTAACGTAGTAAAATACTTTTTAAAGGTTTACTAAATATTAGCCAATCTAGATGGAAATTCCGGACAATTTATTTACTACTTGCTTACTAGTTTTTTTTCTAGAAACATTATAATGAAACTAAATTCTTTTAATTATGTACAAAAGCTCATCAGAATATGACATGCTCATTAAATTTGTAAAAAAATTTTTCCCCTTTTACACACACACAATTATGAACAGATATCTCAAAAAGACATATTTTACTATAAAATCCTGAAACTTATTTTTATTTTTCACTAGTAATTTTATTAGTAATTTATTATAATTTTATTAGTAAATATCAAAATGCAAATTTCTGTAGTTTACTTAATTTCGGTACATATACCAAAAGTTTTTTTCTAGATTTCAATTTAGAAAATCAAAAAAATTTATAAAAAAAAAGATATAGGCTAAACTACCCGGTGGGAAATCGGCTAGCGAATAGCTAGCTATAATCGTTACGATAAAAAAAGCAATTTGGTCACGAGGATCGCTAGCTTTTTTAAGTTAGCCAAAAGGTATCGATATTGGTAAAGATAAAAACAAAAAATTTGGCTACGAGGACAGCTAGCTTAATAAGCTAAAGACTCACAGGCTATTGTAGCACCGTCATATCGTTATAAAATCGCTATCAAAAAAGTTTTGGTATGTAGTTATCAACTAGCTATAGATTTGTAGATATTTTGTAGCTAGCTACAAAGCTACGATATGTAGCTAGCGACGCATTGCTACAAAATCGCAATGTTTAAAGTTCAATTATTCTCATAATTATAATAGACTCAACACTAAAAATCGAATTTTTAAAGATGTTAGAGACATTAGCAAAGAATAAAATAAGAAAAGAAAAATCGCTTAAAAATCGCTATAAAGCTAGCTAGTCGCTTGCTAGTCGCTAGCTCATTTCCCACCGGGTAGACAAGAACATGTTGCAACAAACTTTTGAGCAAGTAATCTCAATATCTGAAGTTTTCATAAGTTTTTTTCAAAATGTGGTTAATTTGAACAAAATTAGTTATTTAATACTCCTCTATGTTCAGTTTATTTGAAAATAAATGATTTTTAACATAATCTTAACCGTAATCCATAATCTCAACACTACTCTTATTTTTCAAGTTTTTTAATTTTTCAATAGCTTCCTCTCCAGAAGTTAGATTATGTTCCTGTTTTGCTGGATTGAAGAAAGGTTTTCAGAGTGGTATTCTTGTTTTCTATCTTCTTAAAACTTGGTTTAAAGCTATAACTCCATTTATAAATCATGATCAATCAGTTAAAAACAATTTTGCTCAAAAATTACACACCCCTCCTTTCCCCCAACAACTATAAATTTTGGAGAATTTTATTTGAATTTTAATTTAATTGAATTTATTTTCATATATAACTATTTTTAGATCAAATTGAATATTGTTTTATATTTTTCATTAACTTCAATCATAGATTAAAACTTTTTTGTATAAGATTTTTAAATTTCTGACCAGTGAACAATGAAAACAAAACCTTAGTAAACCAAATTTAAAAACAATACATTCTTGTTACATCTTACTGTATGTATTACACTGAAAATATAGCATAATCTTATAATACATCAAAATTTATTTGTTCAACCATCATTTAACTATACCACATCCTTAACAGTAAATGTACTTTTGTAAATGCGCTCAAAAAAAATTTAACTATCAAATTATTTGAACATTTTAAAATGTTATTTAAAATTAAAACCTTCAATAAATACCTTTTGTTGTATGAGCAATATGACTTCGTTGAACCAAGACATTTATTTTAGACTTATTTACTAATCTATTTCTTAATTGCGCCAAAAAACTTCTTTTTGAAGACGCAATTCCAAGAATTTGGTTTAAATTGTTACATGTTTCAATAGAGGAGAAACTTCCTAATAAGAAACATATATATATATATATATATATATATATATATATATATATATATATATATATATATATATATATATATATATATATATATATATATATATATATATATATATATATATATAATAAGAAATAACAAAAAGTATAGAAATAAATGTTCATCACAAAAAACATTTAACAAAACATTCATCACAAAACATTTTACAGCAATTATTGCTTTATCTCGTATTAATACTTTTGTTTTAATTAAAATAATGTAACTATTTAATGTCATTATTTTGTAGTTTTTTTTTCTTGTTTTTTTTAGTGAATCTGTTTGTTTCTTAAATGAATATTTTAAATGTTTTGTAAATTATTCTAATATCAAATCACAATTTTTAAATATTGTAAAGTGTTAAATGTTTTGTTAATTTTGTAAAGTGTTAAATGTTTTTTTACTACAAAACATATTTAATATGTTTTTAGTAAAAGATATATGTTTAAAGATAAAGGTTATATTGCAATTTAAGAAATGTAAAAATATGATTATTATATAAAGTAATAAGATGTTCAAAAAGTGTAATTGTCTTTAATCCTGAATTCAATGTTTGCGTACTACCAGATACTTTTAAAAGATTAAAACATTAATCTTTCTTTAATCTATCAAAAGGTTACTTTGAAAAATCTTTAAGTAATTTTTAAGTAAATATGCTTGCAAACAAATTTCAAGCACAGTTCTGAGCAATTTAAATCAAGTAAATTCTTTTCTGGAAAATCTTATAGTAAATATTTAGGTAAATTAATGTAAATTATTACATTGGGTCAACGTTGAAACAATATCAGAAGTGCTGGGCTAACATTGTTCAAATGGTGGCCCAATGTGGTGTGCTAGTTGGGCAACCCAATGTCTCCTCAGTGTATTTTAGCAAATGAAGATTAAAATATATATTCTGTGTTAGACTTCTAAACACGCATAAAGTTCATTTAAAGTTCTTGTAAATTTTTTTGCTTTAATTGCCGAGCTTAAATCTCTGCCCCATCATGCAATTCTTTTTCTTTTCTAAAAATACTACTATGGTCACTGCTCATGCATGTGCAAATAATAATAATTAGCATAGTTTTTTTTTCAATTGATTTTTTCAACAAGTTGCAAGTTTGTTGAAAAAACTCAAACTGACAAGTTGCAAGCTGCCATTACTAGTTAAATAAACCAATTCTCAAACTTGTGTAACTCATTTACCATTCAGCAAACAAGCATCCTTTTACTTAATGCTGAAAAGATATTTACTCATTTAAATTTTTTCCTCCAACACCTGTACTTTGGATGCTTCTCTTCATGTTTTTTTGAATAAGACTTTATGTTTACATTATTTTAAGCCTTCTGTTAAATACTTTTTTTCTTTTTACCTCTTTTCTTGATTTCTGTTAACATCCAACAGTGGTGTGTTAACACTCAACAACGGTTGTTTGCAGTAATTTATTAAAAAAAAAAACACTTTAATGCAGAGTTAGTTTGATTTAATAAAATATTTCTAATAATGTAATTATGTAATTATATAGTTATGTATTAAGTTATGTAACCATGGTAATTTAATAATTATTATTCATGTAATAATGTTACTTGACTACGCAATTGTTCAACAGACAGTAAAATCTGGCTATACAACAATATAAATACCAACATTCTAATTTGATAACTCAAAAATTAGCTAAAACAAATTACCATTTATATTTTTTGTTTTGAGATTTCTATTTTTAGATTTATCTATTATTTATTTAAATGCTATTTTATTTTTAATTCTAAGTTTGTTTTTTTCTTTTTAAAATAATCCAGACTGTTTACGACTTTAAATATTATTTTGTTTTTTTACAGAACAATAACAAATAAAATAGCAATAAAATATTATCAAAAAGTAATAGCAAATAAAATAAAATTAATAACAAAATAATTACAGTTGAATATATATAACAGACGTTTTATATGTTAAATACAAAGTGGACATGTTGAATACATAGTGAACATTTTTATGCAGTATTATTATTTAATTCTTAAATAAATAACAAAGATAAAAGAATATACTGTAGTTTTTGTTATACAACCATACCTTTTAAAACATTTGATGTGTATTCACCTATAAAATTACCAGCAGGACGATACCTAGCAACAGAATAATGACAGGTCATATTGCCTGTCTTTTTGGTTGCAAAACCAAATCCAAATTTAGTTGAGCTTTTCCATACCAGTTGTGTAAAATGACCAGTGACTGTTTGTGATTTACTTTCCTCAAATAAGTATGGAGATTGACAAACCTCTTTATACCTGTTTTAAAAAAACAAAAAATAATTAAATATATAAAATATTTGAAGACAAAAAATTTAGTCATGGCAACAAAAAAGAAATTTAACCAGCATACCACTACTCACAAAACATAAATTAATATGCTGAATTGCAAGATTTCTTTTTAACAGTTTTATACAAAAAAAAAAAGTTAAAAAAAAAATAAACTGAGCAACTTTCAACAACGTTTTAGATAATAGGTACATCTCATTCATGAGAATATCTCATTCAATCTTTTTTCTTTCAAGAAGGCTAGTATATGCAAGTGTGTGGTATGGAAGGGTATATTTCTTTCCTGTTAAAAAGCCAGATTTCTAAAATTGCTACTCCTACTGATTAAATTGTATCTTTTTTTGAATAACCAAATCTGAAAAAAAGAATAACGAACTTGTTTGCATAATAATCTAATCTAATAACGAACTTGTTTGCCTACTTTTGACAGTGAAATGGTCATTGCAGTTTTTGTAGCCTCCAATATGCTACTCCTACACATTCATCCATCCTATTTTATTCTGATAAAATGTCAAAAAAAATCTGCTTTTACTTCTTAAAAACTTTTTTGAAAAACATCTTGCAACTAAAGTACAAAATCCTGCAGCCAGTTTATATGTTTCTCAGCAGAATTGCTCTATATTATTGCAACTGTATTGCTTTATACTATTGCAGTAGTATTGCTCTATAGTCTAACTTGCTATTATATTACGCATAATATCAATGCAATTTGTAAAAAAATATAAATCAAAAAAAATTTGGATCTTCTAATAAATAAAAACTTGAATATTCTAGAAAATTATGCTAAAGATTATAATCTGAATCCAATTGAAAAAATGATCTGAATTTTTTTTAAATAAATACAAACAGATTAACATAAAACTATTTACCAATCTTTGACTGGTAGAACAGCTTGATAATCACTTGGTTCAGAAGAACAACGATAAGCCAAGTTTTCGCCGTCATTTTTCCTCTCTTCTGGAGAAGCATGTTGCAAAGACTGTTTAGAAGCAATTTTGTATGCATATTTAGCAGCATCTTCATTCATGTCATCGTCTAACTTGAGATCAGGTACACCATGAATTTTGCGCAGAATATTGTGTGCTTCTAAGGCATTGCGAGCAAATTTGTATTCTACATGAAAAACAAGATTAAGTTCAATCATTGAATTAAGTAAAAAAAAATAAAAAAATTTTAATAACAAATAGAGTTTCCTGATGTAAAATATATGAAAAATTGTTTTGTAAAATAAAATTTGAGGCTTGTTATCTTTCATCACAATAAAAATAAATTTTATTTTGATGGACTTATTTTTTTAAATCTGTTTTTAAATTTTCAAAAATATAAAGAACATTTTTTTTGTTTATTATTAATGTCTGTTCTTGATAAGCAAATATTTTAGCTAGTATATAAACATATAATATATTCTGTCTAATTATAAAACTATAAATATATATTTATAGTTTTATAATTAGACAGAATATATTATATGTTTATATACTAGCTAAAATATTTGCTTATCAAGAACAGATTTGGTTTAAAAGAGTTTACAACTGCAATTACTGCAAAATTAAATATTAATTACCTAGATCAATTATTTACACCCTAGATCAATTATTTTCTATATTCATTTTGAAATAATCTAATGTTTTTTATATATGTTTGTGTGCTACAAACTAATGCATGTTTTTCTATTGTATGTTAATGTGTATTATATACCCCAGGTTGTGGGTATATTTTTGATATGAATTATTAAAAACTTTTTACTTTTTGTGTATTAATTATTTTTTTGTTACTTTAATTTAAGAAACAGTCTTTCTATTTCATTTTGGTTAAAATTTATTATTTTTTAAAGTTTGCTTTGGTCTGGTTGCTCATAAGAATGTCCTATTTATGCAATAGAAATATTTGTTTAAATATTACGTATACAAAAACTTTCTTATTTTAAAAATTTATTCCTACACCATATTGTGATTTTAATGTGAATGGTTTAGCTATCATGTATGGTAATTAAACCATGTACATTTATTTTAAATGTGCATGGTTTAACTATCATGTTTAATAGTTAACTACATTTATTGACTTAAATATATTTGGTAGTTATCTTGATTCAACAAATTTAATGTTGTTGAAACTTCTATTGTAATTAGCTTTTGAAATAATATATATTTATTAGTAAGTAAACTTGTAAATATTTTGAAAAACAAATTTTCTGCTAAGTATGTTAGATTTAAGATTATCTGAAAATTAAAAAAAATTAAAATTTTGTTATACGAACTCAATTATTTAAGAGTCATGCAGACACGAACAAGACTTTAAAAAAAGACATTAAAATCAGTAATAGTACAAAACTAAAATATAAAGATAAAAATGGATAATTTTTTTAAAGAATAATATTTAAATTATTTTTAATTTATAAATTGTAACTTAGTGTAATTTAATTTTTTATAATGTATAAATTAAAAATGTAGAAATTTTTAAAACAAAATTGAAATTAAAAACCTTCTGATGGAAATTGTATATCAGGTTCTGACAAAGTAGATTGTACTTCATTTTCAGAGGATGAAGGTGTTGCTTCAGGTTGGGGAACAGGCACAGAATTATTCTCTGGAGCATTAATATTTTCCATTGAGTTCTCCAATAAATCATAAGCAACCTGCAATGTGTTGTTCTTATCTTCACACATAACATCTGCATCAAAATCTCCAGTGAGCACATTGGCTTGAAATTCACCTTCTTTGTTGCCTTTTGGAGTATACAGAGCTACAACAGCATCACAGTGTTCTTCATTCTACAGATATATAGGTATAAATATATATATATATATATATATATATATATATATATATATATATATATATATATATATATATATATATATATATATATATATATATATATATACATGTATATGTGTATATATATATATAATATATATACAAAATATGTCCTAATATAGCATTATTTTAGCCTCATGAATAAAACAATATTATATATTCATATATAAAGGGTGTTTTTTTTAGAGGTATAGAACTTTAAGTTGGCATTACTGTTCAAGATGGCGACCGATTTAACAGGTGACAAGTAATTTATTCTCAGTTTGGTTTGGCAATTCATCATGAATAGACTCACGCCTGAACAAAGCTTGCAAATAGTTCAATTTTATTTCGAAAATAATGGTTCTGTGCGGAATACGTATGGCGCACTACACTACTGTCCATTTTATCCTCGACAATATCGTCCATCAGAGCAGTTAATTCGATTAACCATGGAACGTTTTCACACCACGTTTACTCTTATTGATAACTCATATCCCCAGAGACGCCGTACGGTGCGTACAGAAGAAGCTATTGCTACTGTAGAGAGTAGCATTGCGGAAGACCCGAATGAGTCCATCCGCCATCGAGCACAGGAATTGGATCTGTGTCCATCCACTGTATGGAAGATTTTGCGGAAGGATCTTGGTATGCGTGCTTACAAAATCCAACTCATGCAAGAATTGAAGCCAAACAATCATCAAGCAAGGCATAGATTTGCTGAATGGGCCCAAAACGAGATTGCCGTTGTTCCCGATTTTCATAGGCGAATTTTCTTTAGCGATGAAGCGCACTTCTGGTTAAATGGTTACGTCAACAAACAAAACTGCCGCATTTGGAGTGAAGATAATCCTCAAGTGTATGTCAAAACACCGTTACATCCAGAAAAACTGACTGTTTGGTGCGCTTTATGGGCTGGTGGAATCATTGGTCCGTACTTCTTCAAAAATGATGATGGCCAGAATGTTACAGTTAATGGTGATAGGTATAGAGCCATGATTACAAACTTTTTCATTCCTGAATTGAACAACCATGATGTCCAGAAGCTGTGGTTTCAACAAGACGGCGCAACATGTCACACAGCTCGTGCCACAACTGATTTATTGAAAGACACGTTTGGTGACCGCCTAATTTCACGTTTTGGACCTGTGAATTGGCCTCCGAGATCTTGTGATTTAACACCGCTAGACTACTTTCTGTGAGGCTATGTAAAGTCATAGGTCTATGCGTATAAGCCACAAATGCTTGACCATTTGGAAGACAACATTCGCTGTGTTATTGCCGATATACGGCCAAATGTTGGAAAAAGTCATCGAAATGTTGGAAAAAGTCATCGAAAATTGGACGCCTAGATTGGACTACATCCGAGCCAGCCGTGGTGGTCATATGCCAGAAATTATATTTAAAATATAATGCCACAAGATTATCTTTCTAATAAAAAAAAATTCTTGTCAATCGAATAATCCATCGTTGTTTTATTGCAATTTAAAGTTCTATACCTCTAAAAAAAACACCCTTTACATATATATATATATATATATATATATATATATATATATATATATATATATATATATATATAATTATATATATATATATGTATAATTTGTATTTATTTATATATATATATATATATATATAAAAAATGTCCTAACATAGCATTATTTTAGCCTCATGAATAAAACAATATTATATATAAATATATATATATATATATATATATGTAATATGTATATATATATATATATATAAATATATATATATATATATATATATATCTATACATATACATATATATATATCTATACATATACATATATATATATATATATATATATATATATATATATATATATATATATATATATATATATATATATATATATATATATATATATATATATATATATATATATATATATATATATATATATATATATATATATATATATATATATATATATATATATATATGTATAGACTAAAATTTATAATAAATTTACAATTACAATTTGAATAAACCTCTATTTAATTCAAAATCTACAAATATCACCTATGTAATTAATTGCTTTTTAAAATTGCACCTGGAAACGATTGCATTGGAAATGAAAAAGAAAATAAAAATTTGAAACTTAATTTTGATTAAACTCTGTCCTAGTTTATTCTCAGTAAACTAGGACAAGCTTTTTATTTAAGAAATCAACAAACTACCAATAATTTAAAGGAATCAGGAAATTATTAAATAATTACACAAAAATTATTGTTAAAAAAAATTAAGGAATAATAAAAAATTCATATTTATATTTATAAAAACACATATTTGAAATTTATTTTTTACAAAAATTAAATTATAACTCTTTTTATAAAATTAAATTCTAAGTATTTTTCTGAAAAATTCTTCTAAACAATGCTTACCATTTTAATTTGA